AAGAGCCTCGTGCCTGCTCTATTAATTCTGGCCCCTGGGAACTAGAAGAGATTTCCCCAAGGGGTCTCCTTGGCCCTGGAAACCTCCCCCAAGGGCTCAGCTAGTGAAACCACTGAAGCCCAGAAGAGAATGACCACGGTGAGCCAGCAGGGATTGGATCGCTGGGCTTGTGGCTGCCCTGTCCAGGTGCGCTGAAGCAACTTGTTTGTAAAAATGCGTCCCATGGCTGCCTCCTTGGGGAGCCCCAGCTCTTCTCAGGCACAGCTGCCTCCCCCAGCCTGATGCAATCACCCTCCACAGAGAGGCGGGGCGCTGGGGCGTGGGATCCGAACACAGGGCATCCCGCTCATGGCTGACCAAAGGGCACTGTTAGTGAGACAAATGTGGCGTTGTGGGGTGAAAGTGGAGGTGGGGTTACAGTATTCATTCCTAGGGCCTACCCCAGAGAACCCCAAATCCTGACCCTATGCCTAAATAATACACAGGCCCCACAGAGATACCCCAACAGGGTTAAAAGAAAGCCGCCCTCACCTAACTGTGACCTTGGCTTTCTGAACCAGAACCCTCTGACTTCAATGCACCAAGAAGCAATCATTTTTATAAATCCTATAATTATCTTATGAATAGCACAGTTATAGTGCATTGTAAACATGGTAGTATTTGCGTAAATACTTAATATATACCAGATATTTTGTAACCCTGTTTGGGCATGTCTTCCTTTTTAGTGTTCCAAGAGCCTTCATTGAATATTCCAATGCAAGCTGCCCAGGAGAGGTGCTGTTGTTTAGCGTTCCTCCCCTTCCCCAACCAAGGACCTGAACTCTGCAGGTGACTGGTGCTCAGGGAGAAGCCTGTCTGGGCACGCTGGGTCTAGAAGTGTCCTCCGTGGTGGGTGGGTTTGGAGGATGGTTTTGTTATGACCTCTGCGGGTAGGAGGAGAGAGGAGAGAGGAAGGAAGACTGGGTAAGGCTTTCCTAAGCCCCTTGTGGTCCTACTTGTCCTTAATTTTCAAAGCGCTTGGGGCCCACACAGGTAAGGAACAAGGGGCTTATGTTTATGTCCCTGTGAGAGGCTCTGAGAGCCCCCTGTGTCACCAGGGCCACCTGGAGGCAGACAAGTGCCCAAAAGAGCCTGGGTAGGTTCTGGGCACACCTGGAGATAGGCATCTATAACATATATTTCTTTTGTGGGGAGAGGGAGGTGTCCATAAAATTATTTTCTTGTACATTTTTCTTGTTGTGCCGATTACACAAGAAACACATGCTTTTGTAAAACTTTTAAGCACTGTAGAAATTAGAAAATAAAAGAAAATGCCTTTTAATGTTACTTCATCCATTCTGCAGAGAGAACCACTATTGTTATATTCTTTCAAATATTTTTCTAGCATACATGTTTCATTAATAGTGAAAAATGGGCTCATACTACAATAGTGCTCTACAATTTTTAAATCTTAATAATACATCTTGGACATTTTTCCATGTCAGTACCAAAGCTCTACCTCATTCTCATTGGTTGCATAATATTCCACTGTAAGGATTAGCATGGTTTCTTTCTCTGTTCCCTAGTGAAGCACGTTTTCTCCCAAATTCTCAGTCTTCCAAAGAACTTGGTGAGAGAGCCCCTGGTTCATGGAACTTTTTGCACATGTGCTAGTGTATCTGTGTAGGATAGATTCTTAGAGTGAGTGGGATTTCTGCTTGGTCCTAGGAACGTCTGCTGGCCTTTGGGAGAGAACCCATCTTATCCATACGCTCTCAGCTGCCTCCAAAGGGCAAAGCCAAGGCCACAACTTGGCTCCTCACAGACCTCCTACTGGTCGTCGGCAGGATAGGAGCCTGGTGGCCTGTGTGGTCAGAACCACACAGAGGGCCAGTGTGAACCCTGAGCTGGGAACCCCTAAGCCCCTTGGCTCTTGCAGAGTGAGAAAGTGCCTGATAACGAAGTAACCAGGAAACACTACAGTGGACGCAGACCTGTAAGGCTGCCTAAGGGCCACTCTAGCAGGGAGGTGATATGGAAAAGCCCCAGCCCCACCCAGGTTAACGTGGTATGTGCTTGGCTGCTGTCTTCCCTACTTGGGTCTTTGAGAGACAACACCAGAACCCTCTCAAATGCATGACCTTGGCTGACTGCTGAGGAAGAGTCTGGGGTGACACAGGGAACTAGGACTCCTGGGTCCCCCCATACATACTTTTCTGTGTCATATCGTGAAAGAACTTTGCCTCTTTAAATCCCAGTTTTCCCCTCTCCAAACACCTGTTCCTTCCTTTCTCCACCGAAAGGCTAGTGATAATTTTGAAAAGAACCTCTTTGGGCAAAGTCACCAGGGTGATGACTCCTTCCTCTGAGTTAGGAATGGACTGAGTTAGGGTCAGAGCCCCTGCCCTCCTCAGAATCTAGCATCTCCTGGCTCTGTTTACTATGGAATCCAGGGGGTGGGGTGGTGGCTGTTTCCCTGATGGCTGTGACTAATTGGGCTCCAGCAAGCTCACTCTAGGGACCTGGCGAGCTGCAAAGGGGAGTCCTCCCAGGGCTCTTTAAGTTTATGAGCAGCAGGGGGACTCAGAGTCGGGAAGAAACCCCAAGAGAAAAACAGAAGCCAGAGTTAGTGAGAGGGAGGCCAAGACAAGGCAGGGAGTGCCTCGGGGGTGAGGTGGTGAGCTTCCCAACAGGCTTTGGTGTTTGAGACAGGTAGGGAAGGTATAGAGCAGGTGGCCCTCAGCCTAACTCTGGGTCCTTTACTGGAATTCCAATTTGGCTGTATCCTTATTTTCCTAAATCACCTCTGGACCATCTCTGGCATTCTAATTCTTTTTAGAATGGCCTTCCCTCTCTGTGAGGCCCATGAGCCCTCCTTGGGACTGCCCTGAGGCAGCGATCATAGAAGGCCTGGTGCACAAGAAGCAAGAAGCAAGCGTTTAGCTCCCTGTTTACATTGGAGCAGGAGGGAACCGCAGGTATAATGGCTTTGGGGGTCATTAAAGACTCTTGAGTCAAGTCCTAGTTTAGCTATCCTCCAGCCATGCCAAAGACCTCTTTCTGGGATTAAAGGAACTGCCCACCACCTCTGAGGCGGAGTCAGGAGCTGTTCTGTGGGCAAGTGGCAACGAAAGCAGGTATCCAGAAACCAGAGTCGGGGGACCGGTGCTGGCCAGTCGCCAGCCTCACCACTACCTCGCTATATAACCTCAGAGAAGTCACTCCTTGCAGCTGTTTCCTCATTTACACAAGGAGAATCATGATCTGCCTAGCAGGCTCACAGTGCGGAACTCAAGAAGGTGCAAGATTGTGTTTTGAAAAGTACAAAGTCTCAGATAAATGTAAGGATTTGCGTGATTATCGAAAGTGCTATTGGTTGTCCCCATGAGGATGGGGGGAAAGTAGAACTGTGGAGTCCTCTGTTTATAGCTGACTCATCTGGCAGGAGGCTGGAGGTATAACCTTGGCCACTTGGTAACTTTCCTTGAATCATGCAAGTCTCTGGTGCAGATAAACTGGCAGGAGCATCCTTAGGGAATGTGCTTGTCATCTGGAATACTAAGAGGTTGCAGGCTTGTTAGAGCCCTTTTCACCAAGGGAGTTTTATGGCACCAGCCAGGGATTGGAAATACAACCCCTCCTTAGCCCCATTTTACAGATTTAACCATCTATCCACCTCCTTCAGTAATTCACAGGCAGATCACGGTCCTAACCCACGTATCATATGCCCAGTCCTCTGCACCCCTACCCCCAGTTTCCTCAGTTGGCTCCAAGGGAATAAGACTTCACTCATTCATGTCCCCAGATGTTAACTCCTGCCTCTCCATAGCACTCTGGGCAGAGGACCTCTGTTTAGCCACCTTCACGCCTGCCCTGCTGAGGTGAGGAAGGGAAGGGGAACGAATTGAGCGAGCCACCACCTGGTCCCCCCTTTGGTTCCCATACTGGCCCATCTCAATCCCAGGATAAACACCCTGTGCCACCACCCTGCCAGCAGACTGAGATGCTGGAACATTTTGGATGCCCACCCCAGCCAGGACCTCAGAGAAGGAAATCAGATCACTTATTTGTTTTTTTTTTGTTTTTGTTTGTTTTGGAGTGGTGGAAAAAGTCTCTAGCATGAGCAGAAGCCTCTAAGGGGAGGGCCTCGCTTTCTTTATGCCTGAGTCAGACCATCGTAGACCCCTAGAATCTCAGTGCTGGAAGCCACCTCCAAAGGTCATTTAGTCCAGGTCTCACTTTTTGGGTGAGTCAATGCCAAGGCCACACAGAGCAGAGGGTTTGGTCACTGAGGCATTTAAAGTTGTGCCTTCTCCCCCACCCAGATATGGAGCCACCAAAAGCACCCAGGATTATCACCATGAGGGAACATGTGAGGCTAGACCACAGCTCTGCCCCCACCATACCCACTGCTGGTGTGGGTGGGACCACATGTGCTTGCGGGAATGGAAAAATGGGCAGAAGAAGTCCACGGGGTGTTCAGGGCCCCAGTGCCATTCTCCACTCCTGTTCCTTGCTAACGGTGATGCAGAGGCCAAGGGTTTCCCTTTAGGATCCCTCAGCTTGCCCCAGCCTCCAGGATGGTGAAAAGGCTAACGTGGTATTCAACAAAAGGGGAACTTGAAGAAAGAAATGAGTGGGCTTCTGAGACCTGTGGCTGCAGCAGCTAAAGGCAGGACGTTACCTTGAAGAGAAAGGCGGGAAGATAAGATGGCAGGGGGCATTCATGGGGAGCTTCGCCAGCCCAGGCCTCCTTTCTGGGAAAATTACAACTTGCCCAGAATGAGGCTGCAAAAGCCAGTGGGCTCTCTGTCATTTATATCAGGGAAGAAAAGTTACTGACAGTTGTCCCCAGAGCAGCCAGATGTCTCTCAAATTTACAACCTGACATCAGCTAGCTCTGCAGCCAAAACACCCCCCTGGGGCAAACGTACACTTGTCAGCATCAATGCTCCCTCCCATCCCCTCCACCACAGGTCCCCACAGGTCAAATGGGCACAGAAGTTGGGAGCTTTACTGACCGTCTGCGTCGAAGTGCTTCCAGATCTCCAGAAACTGGGACGCCGTCAGCTCGGCCAGGTGCAGGTAAGGGGGCTGCTGCTGCGGACCAGCCATGGTGAGCTGCTCGGAGACCTCAGGCAGCAAGAGCTCTGCCTGCGCACTCCGCTCTCGGCCAGGTCTTGCGCGCCACGCGGCCTTTATATACAGTCTGGAGGCTGCGCCCGTGCCCCGCTGCCAGCAGGGGGCGCGCGCGCTCAGCGAATCGGCCTGGGTTGCAGAGGGGCGGCGGCCGCTCAAGGCCTCTCCAGGGTTCGCGGTGGTGTGGACACAAGTATGATGAGGTGAAAGCCCTCGGCGCCGGGCTAAGGAAACAGAGGTTCTTAGGTGCGAAGGGGAAAGAGGCTACTCTTGCCTTCCCCTCTTCCTGACCATCTGGAGTGCAGCTATCACATATTATTGGTAGCAGTAGCAATAATGACAACGACAGGAGTAACAGCAACACCATTAATGGTAATAGTATGTTTGACAAGTATTTAGCACCTGGACTATGGAGTTCACTAGGTCTCTTTCATGCCTCCTCCCATCTGACCTTTCCGCAGCAGAAAGTCCAGGGACCGCTTTTTCATGTGGGGACTTGAGACTTCAAATGACTAAATGACTTGTCCAGCAAATAAGTGGCCAAGCTAGAATTTGAACCCAGCTTTTCCCTTGCTCTCATGGCCCCTTAATGGGGCCCAGTCTTAGGGAGAAGGCAAGCGTTCTCAAGGCTTTACTTGGGGTGGCGGGGGGGGGGGGGGGTTGGCTGGAATTGGCGCCCCCTAGGGAGGGTCCAGGTTGGGAGTGAAAAAGGGGCTCCCGCTGTCTCCTGGGTCTTGTTTTTTTCTCTCCTTGGGGTGCGCTGTTACCTGCCGCACCCTGGAGAGGCTCTGGAGGCTTTTAAACATTTGTCCAGGGAGTGGCAGGACTAACTAGATCCTACCCTACCGGGTCTTAGCCACGCCCACCTAGGGTATCGTGGGCAGAGAAGATCCAACGCTGATCTAGGAATCTTCGGCACTGGTTTCAGAGAGTACAATCCTGAGGACAGCAGACCTCCCGAGTTGGGAACTGGGATCCCTCCCCATTCTCTCTGGTGACCTACACCCTGGGGCCTGTCCTGGCCTTGTGCACCCATCACCCCCAGAGTGGCAGCTTCATCCTTCCTTTCTCCCCTCCCACTGAGTGACTGAGGAATGAATTGATGCTCATTAACATGTGCTAATGAGTGTTAGCTGAACTGCCTTCCAAAGGGAGAGCAAAAGGGAAGGTGAGAACAGAAAGGAGGTCGCTAGGGCTTAGAGGACCTGGACCTTAAGGAGGATGGGGGGTGAGGGGGGGGGAAGGTTGTCCCTCAGGAGAAGGGGTGCACCCAGGGTGAGCCCAGAGGGGCATTACAGAGTGAGGGTTCCAAATCTACTTGTTTTTTGCCTAAAGCAAATGTGTATAGAGTTACAGGAACAAACTAGGAGAGAAGGAGTCATAAAAAGCCAGCTTGTTACGCCTGTATACATCCCTTCTCCATTGCTGCCAGAGGAGAGTCCTGGACTGAGGAATTCACCAAATCCACTGAGTCCCTCTTGCCCTGCCACTAGGGCGACAGGATGGCCCAGTGGTTAAGATCTGGCACTCTTGAATCAGGCTGCTTGGGTTTGACTCCCAGGATAAGCTGTGTGACCTTGGGCAAATTATTAATACATAACCTGTGCCTCAGTTTTTCTTTTCTGCAAAATCTCTTAGAATTGTTCTGAGCATTAAAAGAGTTGATGCTCCCACTATCCTTCATGGAGCCAGAGATAATGGTGGTTGGCTTGACAAGAAATTCTGTGGCCAGCATTCCTCTCCTGCGGTGGTGAATGGCTCCTGGAGGGGCTAACCCCAGAGTGAGGCCAACAGGAAAGGATAAACACAAGCTCTTAACCTCTGTGCTACACAGCCACTCGGGGCCTAGGCTCAGCCCCCTCCAGCCCTGACACTGTCATTTAGGTTCCTCTACCTCATCTCCTGCCCCCTTCCCTGGACCATATCTCTGGGGCCAGAGAGCTCATCCCTAAAGACCACAGCCAGTACCCTCTTGCTGCTTTGGTTTTCCTGGTGAGGAAGAGAAACTGGAATTTCTACTTCCAACTTCCCAGAGCTGTGGAGATGAGAGAAGATGTTTGCTTGACTGGGGGAGGTCCTGGGTATGGCCACTGTGACCGCCAAACTCCATATTGAGATAATTCTAGCATTGTTCATTTTAGATGCATGGTGGGAGTCTCTTTCTGGAAGGCTTGTTCCTGACTCTCCCAGACACAGGTCCAGGGAGGACCACAGAGCCCAAGCAAGTCCCTTTGTCCCCAAGCTGAGCCTGCAGAAGCAGTCACATTTAGCCGTTACAAGCCCTGCTCTGAGGTCAGACAGAGATGAGGGCACAAAACCCACTTACTGGTTGTGAGGCCTTGGGCAAACTATTTAACCTCTTTGAACCTTAGTAAAAATGGAGATAATCATAACACTGGATACATAAATTCAGTTTTAAGGACCAAAAATAACGTGGTCATGAAGTTGGTTGGCAAGAATCCTGGCAGTGGTAAGTGCTGCATTAAAAGATAGTTATTATTTTTAATGTAAGATGTTCAAAGGACTTTTTCTTGTTGTTCTGAAATAGTAGCACAAAAGGAACTAAGTACCCCACCAGGAAAGCTTCTCCCCAGTGGCCAGGCTTCTCCTGTCTGTTGCTCTCCACTTCCAACCAAGGTCATGAGCTAGAAAGAAGAAGCCTGTGGAGGGGGAGAGGGGAGCCTTAGCCTTTGGGGAGTACCTCATTTGTGCCTTCTCTGAAGCCATGTTTTGTTGGGGGTATCTCTAGAAGACCTAGCCATGTCACGGGGAATGCCCGCAGTAAGGGGACACTGGTAAGCCCCCTGCTCCTGGAGAAGAATTCTAGAGTCTGGGCCCCATGTGAAGACAGATTTGGTGCCGTTTCTGACTTCCAGCTGTGTGAAGGCCAGGCTGTCCTGTCCCATGCTTAGAAGAGAGATGGGGGCGATCACTTTCCTTTCCGGTTCTCTGTAGCCCTTGGGGGTCTCTGTGGCTCCTGGGAAAGGTGCACGGCAGAGTTTAAAGGAGGATCAGAACCCACATACCTGCTGCTCAGTCCAGGTGTTGAAGGAGGCTAGGGTAGAACTGAAAATGGCTGCAAGAAAGCCTTCATGGTGCCGTGCAGCGGCCCTCTGACTCTCCAGAGACCAGCCTCTCTAGCTCCTACAACCCATGGTGACCAAGTAGGTAAGATCCCTCTTCTCCCAGTGCTGTTCCCACCCAACCCATGGAGGAGGTGTCTCAGGGCCAGCTCACCCCTCCTCTCCACACTTAGCCCTGGAGCCGGGGCCCTCATGAAATTTGCAATGAGGAGACTTTGAACCGGTGAAGAGACAAGTTTTAAGTTGGACTGGATCAAGTTTAAATGCTTGAATGTGAGAAGAAAAACATAGACTCGGATCAAGAAATCGCTAAGGAATAGGAAAGTTAGCTTCAATCTGAAAGCAGTGACAATAAAAATGAAACTCTTTTCTGTTTATATTTCAATCAATTGAGACTCTTGTAATTTTTTTTTAGATGTCTGAGGTTTTGCTGCTGGTCCGTGATCTCTCCTCGCATTTTATGACGATGGAGATAATGACCACGAGGATCCCTTTAGATGCCTTTATAGAGGCTTTGGTGTGTCCTGTTGAGTTAGGTAGGTCCTTACCGCTAGCCTATCAGGTGTGCAATGCAAGAATCGGGCCTATTTTAAAGGTTAGGAAACCAAATTAACACCCAACTAAGACCTGTCAGGGAGAGGATATCGAGAACATTCTGGCTCCTCCAGTTTCAAGTCTCCAGGTTAAATGGAGTCCTTGTGGACCAGGTGCCAAGGCCCTTGATAATGTGTACAAAGTTCTTCTCAGCTCCTGGCCACCAGGACCACAGGGTGCCTAACAGTGGCAAGGAGTGATGCCATGTCCACTGTTTCCAGGCTGCCCACAAGTTCAGGTGATAGCTGGTTCCTCCCTGCTCCAGAAGTGGCAGATTGGGTGCCATCCTCCGTTTTGCACCCCATGCCCACCAGCTGTACCCTGAATGCTGCAACCCAATACCCCTAGGTATTGGCAAGAAGACGTGCCTGACTTACCCTCTGCCTCAGACCCCAGAATTGTTCCCTCAGAAGAGAAAGAGGCCTGCTGACTATAAGATGGCGAGATGTAAAGCAGATGACAACTTTCCAGCTAGTATCCACTGGGCCCAGGTAATTGGCAGAGCTCCTTAGAGCACCTGGTGTTATTTTGGAGACCATCAAAGAAAAAATCAGAAGCACAACCTGGTTCCTCCCTCTGCCTGGAAATATTTCTTCCAGATATTGTTCCTTTGGTCTTTATGATGGCCAGGCCTAGTGACTGGGGTGCCAGAGAGCTGGCCTTGCTTCCCAGAAAGGATGAAAAGGATGCAGGAGCCCAGCAGTTTCCATGGAAACGGATCAGGTGGAGGGAGAATAGAGTCCAAAGGAACCCAGAGGTGGGAGCAGGACTTTTGAGATCTGAAGCCTGGGAATCTGTGGACAAAATATTTCCCTGCAAAGGATTTGGGTCGCCAGAAGAGCAAAAGGAGGTGGAATAACAGTAGCTGGGAACTGTCAAGTAACACCCTCCCCCAATAAGCACGGGCGCAGGGAGTGAGAGCTCAGCTCCCTTCAGCTTTTAGTTCTGCAGTTAATGAGCAGTTTTGCCACGTGATTCCTTATGTGATCCTGGGCAAGGTGTGTACCCTCTCTGAGCTTTCCTTTTCTCATTGGTAAAATGAGGATACTTCTAGTAACTTACTTACATGGTTTTATTTTGTGTGTGTGAGCATTAAGAGTAATAATCCGTGTAAAACACCTGGAACATAATAAGCACTCAAATGTTATTACAAATGAGAAAACTGAAGGCAATTGATAAGTCTAATTCAATCAATGCAGCCCATCCCTCCCCCTGGCTGAAGTGATTGGTTCAGGGACAGACAATATAAGATCACCAGATGGTGCAGGAGCTACTGGGAGGGACTCCCTCTTTACTTGTAGATAGTCTGGTAGGAAGCTGTGAGGTCTGGAATCGCTGCAGCCATCTTGACACCATGAGTTAAGAGTCTAG